GTTCTATGGAGACATATGGACATACATAATTTCACAGAACAGACATACAAAATAAGAAGTAGTAGAAATTGGCAATCAAATACCACTGGAAGGTGGGACCCTTGATATATACAGGAATTCAAACCAACAATGAGTTAGGCAGTTCTGTAAAGAAAACTGATTTTCAGCTATTGTCTAGAATTTTAAAACTCAAAGGATTCTTTTTTAGCATCTGAACCATGCCGCACCATTGCCGTTCTTTTTGTTTGAGCAGAATTAGCATCGAAAATAAGAAAACTCATTTACTTGTCACTCTGCTTTTTTTCTTTTTTCCAAATCTCTCTCAGTATATACTTAAGATAGAAAAGTTGAAGGAAATCCTATTTTTGACACAAGCCTTGCTCCAAAAGTTTACCTGTTTATCTGTTTCCAAGACAGCTAAGGGTCTTCTGTACACTGCTAACAAAATGCAGCAACGTATTGCAATAGACACATCAAAATTAAACAGTGAGGCCCAAAAGCAAGATGTTAAAAAAACCAAACCAGGGTTTTATGGAATGGAAAGTAACTGCTACCTCACAATCCCTATACTTACTGTTCATTCCTATTATGCTCCACTGACTGCTCTTTCGATTTTTATTCTACATTTCCTATTGTATTCTAGTGCTAGGTACCTAAAGATATTATACATATTCTTACAGTATCAAAACCATTCTGCCAGTTTTGTTTGAACTACATAGCATTTCTCTTTCTTGACCTTTAAGGCCATCAGAATTATTCAGCCATGACCAGAAAAACCAAACAGGAAAAAATTCATGTCCAAAATTATATTTTTTCATCTTGATAATCGTCACACCCCGCTACTCAGCACACTGTTATTGAAGCATGTATGTTGGCGGCTTTTGGCTACTCTACTGGTAATGCATACCGTGTTTAAAGGAAAGTGATCAGGTCCCTGGACACATTTTGATCAGCTCTGTAACGAGATTTTAAAAAAAACTTATTTTTAAACCTAAAGCATCTATTCACAGGCAAAAACCTAATGAAGGACTTAAATCTATTTTGGGACACTTAACCCTCATCAGTCAAAAAATGAGGACAGCTCTTCAAACACGGCAAGATTCTTCTAGCAAAGTAAAGTTATCCTATCACTTCCACTTCTCTTGTTCTTTACGCTTCAACAGCATTTTTACTAAATTGACTCAAGACATATTCCCTGAAGGCTTCACAATGGACTTGTAGTTTACATCAGCAAGGCATCAAAAGCAATACAGAAAAGTTGACTTTGCTATATTCAAGGTTAATTAAAGAAAAGAATTATAAAATGCTAAAAAAAAGGAAAGAAACACGCTTTGAAAACTAAAGTTATCACCCTACTTTACACACAAATATAATAAGCCCTAACCAAAAAAGCTCTGCCAGGCTAGTGACATCAGCTGGTATCAAAGCCACTTGGCAGTTCTCACTTAAGACTATTTTCAGCTGCTATTTGACTATTCAGTCTGAAATTTTCCATGTCAGTTGTCTGCTTCAGGTAGTTTTTCCTCACCTTCCCCTCACTGCTGCCTTTAAAAAAAAAATAAAATAAAAATCAGAGAGTGGCTAGAACATTTTTCTACCATGAAAGGACCTGGGAAAAAAGCCCTTGTAAGCTCTTCCTTTGAAAAACCGTAACCACTTTCCTGCCTTGAATCAGTTATTTGAAATCAGGCTGGAAAATGTTTCTGTATGAGAGCTGCACTCTGCTCATTTTGTGAAAAATCGGTCCCAATTTAGCCAAGCTACAAGCTTCTAGAAATCAGAGTTTGTATGTATTTTTTGGCAAGATCTACTGGAGCTTAACAACCAATCCCCAAACAGTCCATCCTCTGCAACCTCCTGGATGTCATCTCAACGTGCAAGGCAACTGAATTAAGTTTCCTCTAACCCCTCATTATGAGTGAAGAACCAGATTTTCTGCATTTAACAGGCATTAGGTCCAACACTGAACAAGAAGTGTTGTCTTGCATATTTCTGCAACCTCACCTATGCCAATATCCCCTACCATAGTTGAAAACAGTGGCTTGTTGCTTCATATTGTTGGGTGACTGAGTAGGGTATACCCACAGAGCATGTGGAGGGAAGATGGAGAAAACAGCTTGTAGTGGAGAATAGCTTGAAAGAATAAACTGGGATTGACTAGACAAGGAAAAAAGTAGGAGGAACGTTAAGAAGATGTGGTAGTGGACAAGAGAAAATTAAGCCAAACAAGCAATCCCAGGCAGAACAACTCAGAACCGGGGATCACCAGGACTGGTTAGAGTGAGGGACAGACTATATCTGACAGAGCCGTTTTTTAGCAGATATACGCAGAAGGAAGCTGGCTCACAACAAAAGACCAAGAAAAGACCCACCACCAGGAATTAGAAACATAGACAAGAAGAAAAATCAACATAAGCAAGGGAGAGTGAGAAAAATTAGTAGGCAGGCAAAGGCTGACAGCAGAGACAAGGTGCAGTCAGAAACATCCCAGGTCTAGTCAGGCCTAAATATTTGACTAAAAAGACAAAATCAGTGCTGCACTGGAGATCGGCTTGAGGCAGGGACAAGCTGAAAGTATAGGCAAAAAACCTAAAAGAAGTGTGTGTCTTCAGAAGCTACTGAAAAATGTAAAATAAAACATCCTAAAGACTTACCATCCTCTGCAAACATCTGCAAAGCCCTTCCTCCCCCTCTCAGAAAAAATACCCAACTTTCCTCTACTACTGATAAAAATACAGTGTAACAACGCATAACTCTGTTACTTTCTTAATTCAAGCAATAGTAATGCACATGTACTAGATTTAAAAGCTCCAATATTGCTAACTATCAACATGACACCCATATCACAAAATATTAGTCTTCTCATTTTGCTGTTTTTTGGTTGATTTTAACTAGAACATTACATGTAGAAGCACGTTTACAAAATATTAAACAATACCAAGCTTGGAATGCCAGGAATTCCTCCACTTAAGTTTGTCTACTAGCATTAATTCTGTCTTTAATTCTACACTATCCCGAATTATTTTTTCTACCCTACCTCATTCAATTAACAGGATATTTTCTGGTAATAAACCCAAGTTGTATCTTTAAGGATGGCATTCTCTTTAAGGCCCTGCTTTCAATATTATGGAACCTAAATGTTACATAGGAGAACAGGTTTTTAATCTGAGCTTTTGCCAAAGAATTATTAACTGGCTGAGTTAATGACTTCATTGTGTATTAGTAGTAAATTGCAAGACCTTTCTAAGTTTTTGCATTCATGAAAAATGGCACTTTAACACCATTCCCTCTCCAGTACTCCCCTAACTCCTTGTTGCAATTGAATTGGATTCATTGCGCAACTTCAAAATGAGAAACAGCAATATACTAGCAAGTCAAAATATGAAATAAAGCAGCAAGCTTCTTCTCACACCGCTAGAAATAAAGATGTCTGCATTCTCAGTTTTCGCACACAAGCCAAAGAAACCATAGAAAGAAACCCCCCCAACACACATGGCTTTTATATGCGACTCTAAGAAATCTGCGTTATTGTTTAGAAGGTACTTTTTTCTTCTCCTGAAAGAAAGTACTTTATTTCCTTACTGTTTCTTATCAGTTTATTTTAATGTCAGGGACAGTCATAACATATCCTAAAATAAAGTAAAGCACTCTTCAAATGAAAGATTTAGAATTAATAACTAGTAAGAATACAAACTAAAAAGATTTTAATTTTAGGCATTAAGAGAATCTACAGAGTAAAATAAATGGGTTGGTAATAACTGTATTGGAGTATAAGTTACAAAAAATACAAATTAGTAGAAATATATAGTATTTCCTTATATCCTCAGTTCAAAAGTACTATTCATCAGAACATTTTAAAGACATTCTGAAGGCTAAGTATGAAGTCAGAGATATTAAAGTTTGTTTTAAAAAGCTGAACCATGGCAACAAGCAGCTCAGAGTAGGTCTCTTGATTTAAATAGTTTTGAGATGTGATACCTACTTTGCTCCCCAGGCTATGTTACCTATCCATCTCCGAGGTCCATACCAGGCATCTTGACTCCAACACTATGCAACATACCATTCAGAGAAGTCAATACACATCTCATGATCCTACGACTAAAACTGGCAATTTAGGCCCAATTCTGCAATGTTCATGCAAAACTGAACTTCAGAGATTTATTCTGGCAGAGAGAAAGAAAGCTCTGGTCCGTGTTTCTTTACCGCAGACAATTTTTAACTTACCCCTCTCCAAGCTGTGGCTGAAGAATCCAATTATTTAGATTTTAGAGATTTCAGAGTTTCCAAGTTGCTCAGAAACACCCATAACACATTGTTTGCAGCTTTTTACTGAATGGTGTTCCAACACAACAGCATAACAGGAGTTTCTAAAAATCATTTTAGGTAACTTTTTTGTGCAACTACTCATATTATTCACATATAGCTAAAAAAAAAGAAATAGGGTCTAGTACAGCCTGTCCCTCCACCTCCTTCTATTATCTCCTTTGAAGACGGGAAAACAACTCATTTTTATTTTCAAGGAGAGTAACATTTGCTATTCATGCACACATCTGTACAATGCTGATTACAAATCTTTGTCAAAACAAACAACAGCAAGCAGCTGCTTGACTGCTTTGCTGTGTTTAGTTATATTAGCAACCTTTTTTGTTTTCTGGAAAGCAACCCAATGACGAAGACAGGCAAGAAATTCTTTGTCAGCAAGAATAGGCTCAAAGTAACTGGGTACTGCACACACTCAGATCCATACATAGTTTCACAAGAAGGCTACAAATGCAGTAGCCCTCTTTTACTTCCCATCTGCCATGGCTCAGTGCAGCCTGTATGCTATAAGGCTGCTCCCATGGAGACTTTGAACACTCCTAAATACTTCAATGGCAGACTTATTGAGGAAGACAGGAATGATATTCTAGGGTCCTGTTTCATCATCAAGGGCAACAGCCATTAAAGTAGTAACGTTTCAAAATGCAAAACTAAAAAACTACACAATAGAAAATTCTTACCTGCTGAGCTAAGCAAAACACTGAAGTCTGTTCCTCTCTGTGATTCCCCACATTCACTCTGTCCCTCTTTTTCTGCATCCTCATAGCGGCTCCAGTTGGAAAAAATCTTTCTTCTTGAATAGTTTTTCAGTTCTTCCTTCTCTTCTTCCTCTCGTGATTCGGTATCATCATTCTCCTCTACCTGTGACATTTAAATGGACAGTTAAGCCATTGCAACTCAATAGCATTTTGTTCTGCATTAAAACAGTCATTCATACAAACAACTCCAACCACAGCATTAAAACCCAGAAACACAAACCAGCCTGGATCCCTGTCAAAATTTTAAATCAGGTACACATCTTCCTGAACTCTATAGAATTCATCAATGGTATCATTAAAAGCACCTAGTGAAGCTTCAGTTCTTACAGGGTTAAAGCAGTGACACCGATGCAAGTTGCACTGGTTTCCCTCCTATTCTGGAAGCCCATAATTAACAGCTTCCTTCCTGAAACCAAGAGCAATGTGTAGGGAGCATAACTAAGATTTTAATCACAGTATCTCTGTCCAAGCATGCAGTGATTAAGATAACCGAAAGAACTGATGTTTGTAGAGCAGAAGAGGAAAAAGATAACAACAAATACTGCAGAAAAACATCCAGAAAGGGTGATCTATGTAAGAATTTCCATTACAACCAACTACAGGGTCTTAAGTAATATGGAATAATTAATCAAATTAATTTCCTTCATGAAACCCATTTTATGGAAATACACATGGAAGAATTAAACAGACTTCTGGCGGTCAATCTATGAGCCAAACTCTTAAAAAGCTCTAGGGTCAAAATGAGAACTCATTGCAGAGTCAGCTTAAGATGCAAGCAAAAGAGGCATTTGCCACAAGTACTCAACAGCCACGGAAAACTCTCCCCTCCCTTAAATCCTCTATATCAACAGAGCTCTCTTCTGACAGAGCTTGGGGTTCAGCTGGAATGAGTATTGGTTCACAAACAGAAAGATTTGCTTGCTGAGCACTCTACAGGCAAGAGGAGAACTGAGAGCAACCAGAAAAGTTCTGTACAAGACACTTTCTGTAGAGGTCTCAAGCTCTGAAGAGGTGGAGTAAGGGAGTCAAGAAAAGATTCCCACCATAAAACACAAACCGCAGTGTGCTGCCATCATAAGATTAAATTTCACTGTCCCAACAGTAAGTATATTCTTCATGACCAGGGCAGTGAAATTCAAATTTATCTAGACTGCTGTAAAGCTTAGAGCCATACCTGTTCGGTATAAAATAATTTAAAAAGCAAGCTACCTTTCAGTAAATCATTATATATCCATAAACCAAAACACCCTTACAGCTCACCATCAGACACTGGCTTTAAGTAGAACCTTGGCTTTGATAGTTTAAACCAAATGTAATCCTGAAATAAATGTGAAAAGCAATTATTTATGTTTTAAAAAAGCCCTTGTAAGAGGGCTTGTAAGAAGAGCTGAAACATCTTGTGCAGAAAAATTATTAAAATCTCTAGTAGTTACTGTGTTTCTAAAACTACATTAGGGCTTTTTTAAGCACATACCTGGACTTAACATACTGGTACAACATTGGACAACCTGCTAAAAACAACTGCACAAAGCCACTACCAGGAACAAACGACCATCACTTCATTAACTTCTTTTATAATCAGTGAGCTATAGCTCAAGAAAGGACATAGAGCAATGCAACACATGTTTTAGATTGATTTTAGAAATCCATCGTGAAGAAGGCTTAAGTACTCCATAGAAAATTTTGTAGTTACGTTTTGGCTCAGTGAGACAAGGACAAACTGAGATTTTGATGTTCCTTTAGAGCCCAATTATGTAACAGAAAACCCTCTATCAATGCTAAATAAATCCCTGTTGCTCACCAAATCCTTTATTTGTATGCATGCGCATCATCATAAAAAGAAGACTGACACAGAGAAAAAGGTAGGAAGTAACAGTTTGTAGACAGTGGAGCATTACTACTCTTAGTTCTGAAAATATATATTAAAAATTACCAAAAGTAGCAGCGAAGTCTGTTTCGTGGCTTTTACACAAATGTCCACTGAAAGGCAAAGCATCTTCAAACACAATTGTGAGAGTTTAGATTCGCCCATGTTTGATGCCTTAAAAACGACTGCCCAGCATATTATACAAGTAGCAAAATAAGAACTAGAAGAATGACGTCCCAAGAAAAATAATCCCCCAATCTTCATAAACAAGCTTCTTTCGGCACTGTTTGAGAGATCTGGTTAGGAACAGCATGAAGGAATGGTAAAATCATCAAAGAGCTTAAAAGAGACTAAAAGTTGTGATAATTATACAAATATATTCCCGGTTGTCAAACAGCTGACAAGAAGGAAAATATTCTGTGTATTCTCACTGTTTCTGTGCAATATTTAGGTAAATTCTCTTTTCCTTCTGTTCATCAGATAAATACACTGAAATGGTTGTTGTGGACAAACAATTGTCTGTGTGAGCAAGGGGATGAAGTCACAACTCTCTATTACTGGGGACTGATCCAGAGCTATATTTTCCACAGAACAAAGGCCAAATCCACTTATACCAAGATAAGAATCAACTTATTTCTCTTCTGTTCTTCTCCTATAAATTGAATTATTTGCTATAATCCAGCAAACCTAATGAAATTCAGTGCCCAAAAGGACCTGAAGTTGATACAATTCACAAGTCAAAGCAAGAATAATGCTACACACAGAGATACAAAAGATCAGAATCACCTTAGGCAACTATGACATTATATATAATTACTTACTATAGACTTGTTTAAAGGATTCACTCCTTTCAACTCTCAACATAAACAAAACAGGACTATCACCTTCTTATTTTCACAAGCTTTCAGTGAACTAATATAGATTCAAATGTTTTCTCTTAAACTGGACTAAATTATTTTTCACACTGTTATTAGCTGTGTTATACAGCATACCTCAAGGACATTTCGTTTCTTAGAAGTAAAATCATTAACTCGAGCTTTAAGAAATAAACCACGAATTCTCAGGAGAGTTAATAGCAGTCAAACTATCAAATACATAAATAAAAAATTCCAATCGGTGAGGCTTCAGAAAATAATTTGCTTCTACCATCTCACATGAGATAGCTACCATCTAAAGTAATAACCTCAGAAACACATAAACATAAGTGTTCCTTACTTTCCTCTTATCTACCTATTCAGTGAGACTATATGCTGCTGCTATTGTCATCATACCTTACGGAAAATGAGTCTTAATCAGTACAGAGCAAACATCTGTCCTATGTGTAATGAAATAACTTCCCTCCTGCCCCATCCTCAAATAACAAATGATACAAGCTGAAACAAATTCTAGAAGCCAACTCAAATATAACCTTTAAAGCAGTGTTACTTATGTAAGGAGAAAAACTTATGCCTTTAAACAGTATTGAACTACATCTACACATTATTGCTCAGTGCTATAATGCACCGATACCACACGAGATACAGTATTTATCTGCTGTGCCTCTGTTTCAGACAGTATTACAAGCATTACCATTTGCACATTTAATTGAAGTTTCGGAAGTGGGGAAAGCATGCAAAAGCCCAGATGACCAAAACCAGGAAACCTTCAGACTGTTTGCACATCAGAAGAACAAAAAAAGAAAAAAACATATACATGAACAGCATTCTGCCTAAACACTAAGTTCATAAAAATTGTTCAAACAACACTGAAGGAGCCAAGCTCCCCTGCAGAGGACTTTGCACCATTTGGGGTGTCCCACCAAGGAATGTATTCCCGTCCTTTACCAGAGCCCATGACTCCGCTTTCCTTCTGAAGGAAAGCAAAATGCATAGCTCAGATGACCCCAATCTACAGTCTCTACCACAGCAAAAGGATATTTTAGTACACCCTCCTTTATACACTAATTTTGCATATAGGGTTCAGGACAGTATGGTCTGGAGAAAAAAACAGGAAAGCAGGCTTTCTGTTTGACTTTTCTTACAGACAAGAACGCATTGATGCAGATGCAGGAATGAAGGTGTCAAAATGAAGTAAACATTGTTCTGAACAGGGGATTTCCCCTAGGGTCATCCTTCTCCACTTCCATGGAACCCGGAGTAGTTTGGATCAAACCAAGGCTGAAGTACACAATGGAGAAAGTGCAGCAGTGACCTCTTACATCCTGCTTCAATTACTCAACCACTCCTCACTGTAAGTGCAGTCAGTCTTAGCACGTTAAGCACATGTGTGCAAACATTCAACAAGAATCATTGAACTCACAGCCCTTTAAAAAAAAAAAATGAAGAGTGCATTACAAGTCAGAGCTTCCATTAAGACCTTCTAAAACTGTATTTACTACCCTTAGGAAGCCACAGGAGTTAACGCTTATACGGAAGCCACAGGAGTTAAGGCTTATACCCCTCTTCCTGTTCAGTTCTATTAATTCTGTAAGAAAAGTTTAAAACATTTATCTTTGTAGTACTTGGAATATTCCTACTGAGAGGAACATAGAAACAACACATGTTCAGCTTGCCTTTCTTTGGGCCAACTGCCCTTACCCATTATGTAGGTATCATGAATTATCATATTTCCGTTCTTATTTATTTTGTAGCATTTCTCCCAATTCTCTTCCTGAGTGTGTCACTTTACAGAACATATGAAAACATAGTTTGAGCTTTTTTATCTGTTAGAAAGAATGTATCCATTTCTCTCCTTCACCTTCTTCCCAAATTTATACAATAACCTTTTCATTCTATCTTTAGAAACTTTTTACAAATATATATTGATCAAGTGGTACTTTTCCCTTTGTTACTGTAACTTCTGTATTACTGTTTTGAATGCTACACCACTCAAAGACACAGACATTTCCTTTATCTTTTCCATTCTTTGTTAGGGACACTTACCTACAGTACCCCAGACATCATCTATATCCACACAGAGCCCACAATAAAGTTAGCCACTGCCATGCATGGACACTCGCGTGTTCATGGGCAGTGATAACCACTGTCTGCATTTGCTGCTCTCCCAACCAGCAATAGCACACACCAATTCCTTGAGTAAACTTCTCTCTTGATTTCCTCTTCCCTTCTTGGAAACCTGCTGTAAGGCTGTGGCCCAGTGTGATGCCAGTCAGGCTTACCTGTCTCAATCCCAATTTCTCTTCTCATCAGGGGAAACGGCTAGCAAGACAAAATGAAAATATCCTATGGGTTGAATCT